GTTGTGTACAAGTTAATAGTGTGTCAGAATGATATATTTATACTTCTCATCCAAACACAGTTAAATTCACTCAATCAGGAGACAAACTTTATCAGGATAGCATTGTTTTTAAGTAATAACAACTTGGAATAAAATAGGAGTAACGACTTTCTACTTCTTACCTTTTTAAAAACTGTAGTGAGTAGAAAGTACAGATAATTGTGTAAAAATGTAATGAGTAAAAGTAAAAAGTACGTTGAAAAATAATTACTCAAGTAAAGTACAGAGAACCAAAATTTCTACTTAAGTACAGCAACAAAGTATTTGTACTTAGTTACTTTACAACTCTGCGCTTGAGTAATAATCCACGTATTTGATGTTAGCTTTAGTATTTTTAATATGGCTCCTGCCCAGAGTCAGCCTGTAAAACGGTCTGTTTCAGGACAGTGGGTTGTTGTGAAAGTTATCTTCATATTCTGGCCAATGTGTCCATCAGCATCATTGTCCACCAGATGTCAGTAAAAGTGTATAAAATTTCAAGTCATCCAAGTTCTTTGTTGAATGTATCAGATTTTGTTTCTTGCTGTACTGTTCAGAAACATTAGCTACTGACCTCTGACCTAAACAGTTTATTAAAATGAAACTATCTACACTTTTCTGCTTTGGTTCTCAAACGGTGGTACTCTCTTTAATCATTTATTGTTACTTAATGAAACACTGAATTCAGATTTAGATTCAACTGAGAGTCAGTAAAAAACTCTGTTTTCAAAAATGTAATAAGATGTAAACATGGAAGGGGGTGGGCCTTGGACTACCCTGTGGGGACACCGGACCAGCTTTAGCTTCAACTTCAGTCCAATAATTTCCTTTTGTGCTCATGTGTCTGAAGGCAGGAGGGATCATTAGGTAAGGGTTACTTTACATTCAAATTAAAAAGATTAAATAGTTGATTTTTTTCTATGAGATGAGAACATTTTATTTCTCATGGTTTCTATTTAGCTTGTTCCAACCCACACTGGCCATTGTTGGTTATCGTATACAGCTTACACCAGTTTGGTTTAGTGTCTGCGATGCTGAGCTCTGGAATAACTGATGAAAAAAAACAAGCTTTGCTTTTTCAGTAAAACAACTGAGGCAGAGAAGTGAAGGTGAAGGCTCGTAACGTGTTCAGTGGAGGTGAGCCGCGAAGCTATGGAGGACAGAACCTTTCATGATTGGAAATAAATGTAGAAATAAATAAATGGCTTGAAAAACTAAATACATGGCTTAATAAAATAATGTGGCAAATTTAGCAACCAAACTATAAAAATATACTAACTTAACCAATTTATTTGATTAAACAATGCAACTT